GATGTTCACTGAAATGAAAAATAAAGAAATTAAATTTAAAAAATTTTAAAAAAGATTTACAAAATCCCTGTAAAAAAAAAGAAGTCCATTATATGTTCAATAGTCTCCTCCAGCTCTACAATTCAAAGGTATCGATTCTTCTTCTATCATCCTTAGTCACTGTCCAGCTCTCTGATGCACAGAAAGTAATTGCAAAGACCATGGCTCTGATCAGGCACACCTTAGTCTCTAGATTGACACTGTTGCTCTTCAGTACACTAGAGAGGTCCTTGACAGTAGATTTTCCCAATGCAAATCATCATTTGATTTTCTGACTGCTGGTGCCAAGAAAGCTGAAGCTGAATTTCTATCTCTTCACCGTCCATCATGAGGCTGACAACTGGTCCAGTGGTGAGAATCTTTGTTTTCTTAATATTGAGTTTCAATCAATATTGAAGGCTGCTGTCCTTTTTTTTTTATTATTACATGAATACTTTAATGCAAAATGTTTAACACTTAAAATTAGCAAAGCTTCATTTAAATTAAAACTCCATTTAACTAAAGATGGTTAATCCCAAGAATTGTACAGTAGTTGATTTCTGTAGCACGCCAGCAGCCCTGTGGGTCCAGGTGATGGCTTCACTGCACGCCTCTCCTCTGCTGTTCCTCTCAGCCCTTGGGGTGGGGACAGGGCACCTGGACAGACACATGGCAAGACCCAAATGAGTCGCGCGCAGTGATTAAGGCTGCTGTCCTTGATCTTCTGCAGCAAATGCCTCGGTTTTCCTCAGTTTCAGCAAGCAGGGTTGTGTCATCTGCATAATGCAGGTTGTTAATGAGTCTTCCTCCAACTCTGATGCCGCATTCCTCCTCATAAAGTCCAGACTCCCGGATAAACTCTTCTGAATATAGATTGAAAAGGTATGGAGATAGGATGCATCCCTGGTGTACACCTTTCCTAATTTTTGAAACACACAGGGTTTCCTTGCTCTGTTCTGACACTGGTCCTAGACAAAGTATAGATTTCACATAAGCACAATCAAGTGTTCTGGTTTCTATTCTCCTCAAGGTTACCCATGGTTTGTTGTGATCCACATGGTCAAATGCTTTTGCATAGTCAATGAAACATAGATAAGACATTCCTCTGCTTTCAGCCAAGATCCATCTAATATTGGCTATTATCTCCCTACTGCCACAGCTTCTTCTAAACCCAGCTTGCACATTTGGCAGCAAACGCCCTTAGAACTCTATAAATTAAAAAAAGGCAACAATTGGAGGAGACTGTTTTCAGGAAAAATAGTAAAATATCAACAAAAACAGTGTGCTTTGTGGTGTAGTAAATGGCCCTCTTCTCACCCTGGCACGTCAGGAGGTTCTCTTATTCCCTTTTCTTGATGGCATCCTTTCTGCTGCTGAAAAGGTCAGCAGCTTGAAAGCTCCTTATGAGAAAGATAAACAATCTCCTCCCCTGAGGCTGACAGCCTCAGAAGCTTGACGGAGGGTCCTTATGAGTTGGAACCAATTCAACTGCAGTAAGTTCTTATTTCGTTTTATTTTAGTGCAAAAGAAGACTTCAAAACTTCAATTCTGTGAAAGGGCTCAACTCATTGCTAACAAGGAGGAACCAATTCATAGCTAACCCTCCATGGAGTTCTGAGACTTTAAAATATACGGGCGGTGGGAGGAGGAGGCTGGTCATCTTTCTCCGCTGGAGCTCCTGGAGTATTCTAATCTAATCTTGGGAGTGATGTGGCCTTCTGGGTTAACAGCATCACTCTCTAAAAACAACGGCTCCCTCTAAAAGGGTTGATACCATAGTTGGTATGTACCTATGATGTTGTTGTGTACCACTGAGTCAGAACCAACCCATAGCTGATCCTCCAATGGGTCTTCAGAGGCAGTAAACTGCACAGGATATTGCTCACCCTCCTCCCACAGATCTGCTGGTGGATTCAAACCCCAAGATTAATATTAAAAATAAAGAATACCAGAAGAATGTCTATTTGTTCTTCATTGATAGTGCAAAGGCATTTGACTGTGTGGATCATAACAAGTCGTGGCTGACATTGAGAAGAATGGGAATCCTAGAGCACTTAATTGTGCTCATGCAAAACCTATACCTGGACCAAGAGGCTGTTCTAAGAACAGAGTAGGGGAACACTGCATGGTTTAAAATTAAGAAGGGAGTGTGTCAGGGTTGTATTCTCTCTCCATACTTATTTAATCTGTATGCTGAGCAAATTATTTGAGAAGCTGGACTCTATGAAGAGGAATGTGACATCAGGATTGGAGGGAGACTCATCAATAACCTGTGTTATTCAGATGACAAAGTTTTGCTTGCTAAAAGTGAGGAGGACTTGAAGCACTTGTTGAAGAAGATCAAAGAATGCAGCCTTTAGTATGGAATGCATCTCAATGTCAAGAAAACAAAGATTCTTACCATTG